TTTGAACAATAACCAAGTCCGCCCGTATCCGAACTTCGAGGGGCTCCGAAATTCAGTCATCGACCACGTCCTCCGGAATCAGGACTTCAAGACACTGCGGGACCGAGAGCTCGACAGACCTTGTCTGGCTCTCTCACGCGCTCTCACGAAATTATGGACAAGCCGTGTCCGTGGCTCGCCTGGTTGCCCTTGGATTTGAACAATAACCAAGTCCGCCCGTATCCGAACTTTGAGGGGCTCCGAAATTCAGTCATCGACCACGCTTGCCGGGATCGGAGCTTCGGATGTCGGCCTCGTAGAGTATCGTTAAACCGCCTTCTCGTCGGGCCACCTTTGAGATTATGGTCGTCCTTGTGCGCCATGATTCTTGAAACCACGCAGGGACGGATATTGGCATTAACGTGAGGTGCGGATCCAGGCGAACTTCGCATTTCCGTATGATGCAGATTCTTACTTTGGTGTTTCCGGCGGCCCGTTAATTGCATGAAGGACACAAGTTCGGATGCCGGTGGACTACCAATTATCGACCTTTTTCCAACGAGACTTCGGTTTCCATCCTGGGCAGTGGAATTAAGCAATCTCTTCGCGTTGCTACGAAGGTGTTGTGGCGGAGAGCTCACTATCTCCCAGTCTCTCGCACCTTCTCAAAGTTCGGATCCCGCCGAACTTCGCTTTCCTATAAACACTTCGGTTTGAACGTTCTTTGCATTGCGACCATGCATTTTCGACCCGCATCTGTCGAGGTTTTTTTGAATTGACTCCGAATAATTCCAACTTTCCGTAGCTTCATCTGTGGGATGTTTACGAATCAGGATGTTAAACGTGTTGTAGACAGGTGTTGTACACAGGTGTCGCCAACATCACGTTTCCACCTGTCATCCGCCCTGTCATTGGGTCCCCTGTCGTTGGGCCGCATTCCCCTGTGCATGTGAGGTACTTGAAAGCGTGTGGAACCTTGTGAATAAACAGTTCGTGACCTGCCGACTGCGTGTAGGCGTGGCAAAAGAGAGTGGCCATTTGCCGACTCCGTTTACGACTGTGTGCGTGGCTGTGTGTTTCGTTTGATATGTGTCCGTGGTGTGTAGGGTGCGTAATGGAAGGGAACTTCTCGACACCACGGATCATGCAGTCGCTATTCTCGACACCGGAGACCATGAGTCCCGAGACGCAGATGCGCTTGGCAGAGCTGTTTCCTCCTTGTGCGAAATCCGTGAGGCACTTCAACGGCGTGACATCGATCCACGGAGTCACCAGAGAGGACTTCGAAGAGGACCCGTGGATGCCCGTTGTCCCGTGCATGAACAGGCATCTTGACGGTTGGCACGATGTCAATTGGGCCGCGATGGAGAGTCGATGACCTTGGGAAAGCCAGTACAAGTTCGCCAACATGTTGGAGTTTGGAGACCTCATCACGCTGCCTGACGCTGTCCTCGGACACAAGTTCCTGAGCCATATGCGCAGAACACTGAGCTGCATTAGCCGCCATTTCAGTTGCCTAGAGTGTCACTACGTCACGTCGTCGCCACTCGCGTGGACAGGCTCGCTAAAACAAGAGTTGCTGGACTGCGCTTGTCACTGCTCGTTCCTAGAGCACTACCCGCTCCGTTGCCCCGGTCTTTCTCCAGAAGCTGTGTCTTACTGTTGTGTGAGGTTGACTGTATCCCGAACCGATTTCGCCAGAGCGCTGTGTGTCGCCACTTGTAACAAAAGTAGGAAACTCGTTGATGCAGTTGTGCTTGTGTCACGAAACGTGGTGGTAATTGAGGGATCCAAATTTGTTGAAGCGCGCGGGCCAGAACGTGTAGATGGGTGGCCGGACCTCCTGATAGCAGGGCAGGTCCAAAACTTTTCGTTGTGGCATGAAGTGGAAGAGAAAGTGTCTGACATACGGGACTGTGTTGGGAATTCCTTAGCCCGACCAGGAGTTTTCGTTCAGATGAAATACATGTCCATCTTTTCGGAGAATGCTTTAGTTAAAGAACCGCAGATCCACGTTTACGGATCTTCAATGAATGCTATGTATGGCTTCGGGTCACGACCTCGTCCCCGAGGGACCCCGAATGTAACCTGATCTGGGCGGGTTGTTAGACCTCGTGCTTGAGGGAAAAGGAGCAAGAGGTGTGAGAGGCAGTAGTTGATAGTAGAAACTATATGGCGCACGTGTGGTGCAAAGCCCGAGCTATCCATCTCAACACGCTTCTTTCTGTCCTCCGACGCCATGGCTTTCCTGACGCGCAGCTGATTGCACTGAACACGAAAGCGCAGAGCCTTCGTCACGCACATCGCGTCTCTCTCCAGCACCGGCCCTATGTTCGGATCCCGACGAACTTCGCTTTTCCACAATGCCTTCGAACCGACTGTGTGTTTCCTTACGCCCCTTCGTCGGACCCCAACTTCAGCAGACCTCGTACGTGCGTGTGGACCTCCGTTGCATCTCGGGTTCCGGTAACCGCACAAGTGCGGATTCATATTGCTCTGTCGTTTTTTCTCGCGGCCTCATGCGACAACGGCCCGTGTTCGCCCTTGCCCAGACGACCCGTTTCGTCCGCGCTCGGATGTGGGCGGACTTCGCCTTCTCAAACAGCCTGTCAACTAAGCGCGCCTTGTCTCTTCCGGTCGCCCCCTCCAGAAGTTCCGATCCCGGCGAACTTCGCATTTCAGGTGATGCGTGGGTGTGTCAAAGGCCGCTCTGCGGTTCGTCGAGTTGCGTGAGGAAGCGACTGCAGTCCAGGTAATTCACGGACCAGCATATGGATCCCGCATGTTATCAGTTCTTGGGGCAGTCTTCCGGGATGCTCAATCGCAACTGGGGTCAGGTTTTGGGGCCTTCTTGTCGGATGTGGGTCTGTTTCGAGCAGAGTTTCGCACTCCACAAAGAGAACACCCCCCCGGATCCCGCAGGTTATCAGTTGTTCGGGCAGTCTTTCGGGATGCTCATTCGCAACTGTGGTCAGTTCGATGGACCTTCTTGTTTGATGTGGGTCTGTTTCGAGCGGAGTTTCGCACCTCGCGAACGGAATTGCCCTCCGGCACGGTTTCTCGCGTAATGGCATTTGCACACTGTCTGCCAGCTAGTTGATTCCCAATGATGCACAATCACCGTGCACAATTGTCGAGCATTATGATGCTTGTAAGATAGGAAGTTCGTCGACATCCGAACTACGCGAACACGTCTTTCTCTGTCGGAACTTCATGCACCGTCTGCGTCGGATTCTGGTGGAACAAGGTCGGACCCTGTCACAATGGCCCATCAACATTTGCTGAAGTCCGTCGGAATCCGGACATCGCTCATGATACATATTCTCCGATGGTAGAGCGATCTTCAATAGTAACCACATGTCCGTTTATGAGAAACGTGCGCAATCTTGAACTCCGATGGACGAAGTTCGCCGGAATCCGAACTTCTAACATATGCTATAAAGAGTTCTAAAGCTGCCCGTTTGCGCGCTAATTGTCGACAACCACCATTCCCCTCTACGTTGTTCGCTCGCTGCCAGCGCACTTGCTTTTCCCTTTGTGGTGTTCTGCTTTTCTATTTGCCTGGCTTGTAGTCCGCCGGTATCCGAAGTTCCCCATTTGCTAATTGTTGGCGGTGTTGTTTGTTTTTGAATGCATCCTCTGCTACGTCTGGTGCAGACACAATGTCTACGTCAAGAGGCGAGCAGCCTACGGGGACCTCGGGGAGGGAGTCGACGAATGCAAAATCGTGGTTGAATCATGCGCACACGAAGTGGTTCGTCGATTGGTGCTTCGCCGAAGATGACGAGCCCATGAAACCGCTTTGCGGTCTTGTCATCTTCGTGGAAGATAGAAAAGGACGAAGAGTGCTCGGCTCGGTCAAGGGATGGCAGCCATCGAAAAATCACGACAACAGTGGTACCTGATGCATGTCGTTTACAATTCGAAGGGTGACGTTATGGCAGGGTTGAAAGGGGCGATTCTCTCGTGGGATCTGTTGCAGGGGCTTGGTGGGGGGGCTTTGAGGACCCCTTTCTATACTGAAGTCGCGAAGGGAGGTCTTGTTTCGGCCAGGGAGTTTTTTGACGAGGTCGAGAGGAGCGACTTCGACCTCGACGATCCCTGCCAAATTTTGAGCGACATGGAACTATTGCTTCCTGTGCAAATGTGCTCCGGGTTCGTTTCCAGTGGTTCAGTACAGCCCCGACAGGGTGAGGAAATGGGTTCCGGTGGTTCAGTACAGCCCCGGCAGCGTAAGGAACGCGGTTGCTTCGATGACAGCGAGGAGGAAGAAGAGGAGGACACACGAGTTTCGCCGCAAAGACTCAGAGATCGCGGGATGCTGAGAATTCCGGGGGCTGAGAGAGGGGCAACGGTCGTCGAGCAGCCGTCGACATCGGGTGGCCGTCTCGGCTTGGGGTCGGAGGACAGGACAGTTGGCGTCGTTTCCGGCGGGGAGGGAGGGGAACAACAGTCTACACAAAAGAGAAGAGGAGGTTCTGAGGGGGAGGCGTCGGAAGCTTAAAAGAAGCAGAAGACAAAGACCCCACAGCAGTCAGGGGGGAAAAGGAAGGGAGCTGAGGGGCATGTCGGCGCGTCGAGTCAAAAGCGCCCGGCCTCGGCTTAGAAGCCACCCCAGTCGGCCCCTGTCCAGCCCAGCCTCGTCATCGACATCGACGCGGCATACTTCCTGGAATGGAAAAACGGCTTGCGAACAAAGTGGGAGTTCGCCATTAACCCGTCGCAAGTCATCGACATCGGCGAGTAGGCGGCGGCATACAACCAGCGTTCCTTGGATCCCGTGCAAATACAGGCCATTATTGACGCAATGACGACGGCCTACTCTCAGACCGAGAAGACTTACGAGCTGCCAACACTAAAGCTCGCGCCTCTCGGGTTGGTTAAACCGACGCCCAGGGTGCGGGCGGATCGTCTGAAGCCGGAGGACTGGAGGACGAGCTGGCAGGGCAATACTACTACTACGCTGTGGCGGGCCAGCATAACGCGGCTGCGGCCAGGGCGCTGCTTGGCACGGATGTCGCGGTGAGGTACAACTTCGAGCGCTGACCTGCACGAATGGTGTACTTCTCGGACGAGGACTTTGAGGGGTACTTTCTGGTCAGTGCCGAGGACAACAAGAAAGACCTGAAGGCCCCTCCGAGACAGCTCAAACTCTCCATGAGAGACATTCGGTGGTGTTGGAAGGAATTGGGTTACCCGAAAGTTGTTATGGGTAACCCCAGCGGGAAACAGGCGCAGGTGGAGGCATGGCGAAGATTTTGTGCGGAGGCGCTCCACAGGACGCCGTACAATCACTTGTGGACTCTTGCCGATGACAAGACCGAGCAAGGAATCAAGAAACAGAACGCTGCCCTTCGATCCTATTTCCCGCTCGCGATGGCAGGGAAAAGCGCATGGGAAACCGGGATGGAATTTTTCGAGAGATGGGAAACGGGCAGACTGCTGGCACCGGAAGCAGCGAAGTGGATCGCGAAGAAGAAGAAGTTGCAGGGCCTCAGGCCAGGTGTGAGCCACATCGAAAATGAGAAGGACGGGCGAAAGGTAGTCGTCTACAATGTCCCCGTCGAAGGGCCACAAAAGAAAGGCAAGAAGGAAAAAGAGCCAGGCGACTAGTTCGTCCAGGTCACCGAGCTGGATCCACACTGCTAGAAGAGCATGGAGGCCCTTACCGACAATGAGAAATGCCGGTTGTTGAAGAAGGTTCTCAACTGCGAGGTGGTCTGGGTGCAGACATGGTCCTCCGCGTTGGAAGCAAGGGAAGCTGGGGATGCAAGAGGCAGTGCAACTGGTGAAGTGCGATCGCATATTGGTGCGATTGTGGAACTACTACCAGTTCAAGCATGAGAACCGGCCAGACAGTCACTGGACCACTAAGTACCGCGTCCTGAAAAAATGAGAGGCGATTTTGGCAAAGTTTGAAGGCCAGGGGCTGGATGCAGTATTGTGGGACGGGAGCAGAAACTTGTCAGTGACTCCTCCTTGTTCAAGGACTGTCCGCCCTACATGGGTTGCGAAGACGACAAGTCGATCAAGGCGACAAAAAAGCTAGTCCAAAACAAGAAGTTGCCCATCGACTGGAAGAACAAGGCCCTCTCCGTGTTGACCGGCAGCAGGTTGAAAAACATGGAAGTCGCGCTGGCCGAAGGGATGGTGCACATTCTGTGAAACGACTCGAAGGACGTCACAACTATTGCCCCGTTCGGCGTCGACCCTCTGGATGCGCAGATGAAGATCGTGGAGTTGGAGAGGGCGGTCGAAATCACGAAATGCAACACGTGCGTTCTCGACTTGTGTGAACCGGTGGACATCAAACAGTGGACAGCTAAAGTTTTCGAGAGTTTGAATGCCCTCCTGGAGCACTTGTTCCCGTCGCACTGAACTGTAGTTGCGTTCGTCCCCCGTGAGCACGACTACTACTTCATGACCAGCCTGCACCATCTGTCCGTCGTGAAGGCAATGGCCGGGAAGTGGGTGAGGAGGACGTAGCAGAAGAAAAGTTTCGGTGTCGGCCACAACTTGTACTCCTTGGACGACCACATGTACATCCTTTTCAAAGGCGACGACTTGCGGGAGAACACATCTGTTGTCTACGACGTGAGGTTGGCGGCGGGTGATGCTGCCGCGGTGGGGGCACTTCACAAAGTGACTCCCACTGATATATCCGACATGCTGTTCGACGCTTGTGAATGGCCCGTCGTGATACATGGGCGTGATCCCGTGGTGTACAAGGGCCATGAGCGGAACCCCACACAATTCGCCCATGCTGGAATTCCTTTGCAAAAAGGGGAACGACATCATGTTCCTCAGGAAAGCGCACGCACAAGTCGTGTGGGAGGTTTTGAAGGGTGGTCGCAACGTCATCGCGTTGGAGGGGAATTCGGAGTGGTTGCAATTCACGTTGGATTTCCTGAAAACCGCGGTTAACTCAGGAGCATACCGCTGCAAGTTCATTACGAAGAGTGAGAAGCCGAGACGCGTTTGGGATCCTTCGACGGACACGTGGTTCAAGCTAAGCGCCCGAAAAAGGAGCAGGATCTACGAGTTCCTCTTCTTGGAGAAGCGTCCTGCGAGGGGCACCGACATCGAGTACATGCGCCGCAAGGAACACATGTAGGCGCTGCTAGACAACTATCACGGCGCCACACGCCTGAACGTGAAGAACTTCCTGGACCGACTGGAGTTATTGTACTTTGTCGAATCCGAGCCGGTCCTGAGACTCGAGAGTTACGGTGCCTTGATCGACGCCGACGAAGAGTCCCTCACCGGTGTTGTCTTCGACACCGGTGCACCTGAGGAGGATACCGACACCGAGGAAATTGACATCGACTACCGCCTTGCTCTAGTGCTCCCATCCCCGGCCTCCTCGTCGGCGAGTCCCTCAACAAACCGGCCTCCACAAGCGACGCCCGTGCGGAGGACCCCTAGTAAGCTGTTGGCGAGATTGACACCTCGGCCTGCTGCGCCTCCTCCTCTGCGTCCAGGGTGTCAAGTCCCCCTGGAACATCCTTCTCGGAAGGATGAGAACATCCACTTCGAAGGGCATGACCACACGCGTTCCACGGAGGCAGACTGGGGTCATGACATGATTTGGCACCCGGGGATGATCCAGCCCGCAATTCGGAAGGGGGAGTGGGTCATGGCCATAGTCGACACTTATGGGGAATGGAAGTCGTCCGAGCGCCTGGACAAGTCCGACTACTTGGATATCGCGAGGAGTGTTGTGGTGGATAAAGTGACGTCAGAGAACAGCAACCTGCAGCCCGCCAACCCGGCCATCATTGCCACTGCTGATCGCTTGTTTCGGGAACTTCATGACAAGCAGTGGTTGGAACTATCTGACGATTTCTACGACCTCTAGACGAGCCCTTCGAAGAAAAAGATGAACTGGAAAGTACCCCCGTCGACAGGGACCCAGGGTAGTGTGGGAGGAGGACCTCCGAGCCCCCCCGGGGCCGGAGGGGGGGAGGCAGTGGCCACGAGGAAGGAGGCGGCGGAGGCAGTGGCCATACGACATCAGGGGGAAGCGCGCCGGCATCATCGCCTGCCCCTGGCAGTCAGGGCAGGATCGCGCACAGCGGCATGAGGGAAGGGGGGGTGAAAGTCACACACTCCCCAACAGCAGGGAACGGCAAGTCGGGGAAGTTCGCCCGCATCCGAACTTCGCAGACGGAGGACCCAGTGCCCGCGGAGGCAGCGAAGTCGGCCGGCATCCGCACTTCGACGACTCTGGAGCAGGCGGCCCTTCCATCGTGGACTGCTTTCGACTCCTTCGGTGAAGTAGGGCGGGGCTCATGTGTAGGGGATCCTGTCTCCGCCGTGAAGGGCAAGTCCGCGGGCATCCTTACCAGGGCGGACGACGTTCAGGCGAGTGTACCGGTCGAGTGGAGGTCTATAGGAGCACAGGCGTCGGAGATGGGCGCCGCCCTTGCTGTGCGGGAGGCGATGCCGCCAGCCCTTGGACAAGGCCGATCTGCGGAGTCACAGAGAGAGATTGCTGGTGCAGCGCCGTCCGCCTTCCTTGCGACGAAGTCCGCGGTATCCGTACTTCGTCCGTGACGTGCCTGCAGTCAGAGGAGGCAGGGACGGAGGAAGGTGCTACGTCTGTTCATACAGACGACCGCTCCTTGGGATCCGCCTTGATGCGGCTGCAAGGAGCCGAGTCGCGTGAGACTGACAGGGGTGAAGAATGGGTGCAAGTCGAGGGCGGAGAAGAAGGGGGAGAATGGGAGGAGGGGGGAGAAGGAGACGAAGGGCGAGAGAAGGAGTTGATTACATTGCGCGACGGGGAAGACGGTGAAGAAGGAGGACTCAGTATTACAGACGAGGAAAGGGTGGATGCCAGAGACGAGGATGTATGTGGGGAGACACTTGATTCGTTCGGTCTGGTGTACGCCAGACCAGGTGAAGGTGATATCGACGACGACACGACGACGATTGAGATGGAGAAGCAGGTGGTTAGTGGCCTTTTCGTGGACCACGAAGAATATGACGCCCACCGCCTAGCAACGGCGGTGCATCCCCCCGACGGGTGCCACGAGGCTATCATGACAGTGAGCCCGACGAAAAACGACTCGCCGTCTTAGCGTCAACGAGGTCATCGATAGCATACTGGGCGACGTGCAAGCTAAAACACTTCCGTCCACCCCGTCAAAAAACGATGCCCTTCTCAGCAACGAAATTGTCGCGGCCGGGGACTTGGCGCTCATCCAGCTGTGCTTTCCGGTACCCTGGTCACCGCTCACAGGAGGAAGGGGGGGGGTTGTTGGGGGCCGCCAGCACGTCACGTCCCCAAAAAAGTGCAGGGTAGGCACTCCAGCCCTAGCTGTCCTCGCCTTACCAGCGCCCATGTCGCCGATGAAGGAGCGGAAAGAAAAACAAGCTGGTAAGCATTGACGATCGTCGCGATGTCAGCACTCCCTCGTTTCGGGATTGTCGACGTTGTTTGTCAACCCCCTTGTCGGTTTATGCCCCACGTTAGATGGACAAAATTCCGCTTCACTTGTCAGCGAGGACCAATTGGCCTCTTGTTCCTTAACACACCGTCACTCTTTATTCTGCGACCGCTCATCCGCTCCTCTCTCTACACGTTCTCTGTCGTCGTCTCGACTTTCTATCTTTGGCCGACACCTGTAGTGCGGATACCGGCGGACTACAAGACAGATCGTCCGATGAACGATTTTCGCAGCCACGAGCTTGTGTGCATTCGCACATAAAACGACGAGCGCAGTCTAGCCCGAGAACCCTGCACATGATGACAAAAGACCACATTACGCCAAAGAAGAGGAATGTTTACAAATGCTGAAGTTCGGATTCCGGCGGACTTGCAACTACAACCAGCAGGTCAGGTCGCAGAACCGGGTTTGGTCCTGACACTGGAACTGCGGAAACCGCCGGAAAAACGGTAATACGGAAGGTCTGTTCTGAAGTCCGCCGACATCCGAACTACAAGTGCCGGCGCGAGGTGGAGCACGCCCCGTTGGTTGGTGTTTGCGAACTGTGGCTGCAAGTCCGCTGGAATCCGCACATCGGCAAATGCCGACTTTCCACCTCGCGCCGGCACTTCTAGTGCGGATACCGGCGGACTAGAAAACATACTCTTCGAAGTTCTGGTTTCCTCCGGTCACCGCAGTTCCAGTGTCAGGACCAAACCTAGCTGGTCCGTGTCTGCTAGTTGTAGCTACAAGTCCGTCGAAATCCGAACTTCAGAATTGGTAGGCGTTCCTCTTCTTTGGCCTGATGTGGTCTTTGTCGTCATGTGCTGGGGTCTCGCGCTCGACAATGCTCGTCGTTTTATGTCCAAATGCACGCATGCTTGTGGGCTACATTATCTTTCACATTGTCACTTTCGTCGAACTCCTCTTGGGAATCATATATTCATTTCGGGTTCTGTCTATTCTCTGTTTTACAAGGGTCCGGTCGTCTCGAAAAAGGAGTTTCTCGAAATATCCGGCACGTGTATTGCAGAAACTTCTGAGATTCACGACAAGAAACAAGAATATGTTAAAGGCATCAGGGGTTGATGTCGAGATTGGAGAGAAGGAGCATGCCTTAGCCATTGACAAATGTCTTTCCCTTCTACCTGCGGAGAAGGGGACATATCCACGATCTGTGACTAGGGGTCAGGCCATGTATGAAAAATACTTAGCGACGCGTCGTGTGGTGAACGACAACCTTTAGAACTTCCTTTCTCACTTCCCCGCGTGTGCGTTGGTCGATGATGTGCAGCTCGGGCCACAACACCTGCAGCCTGGGGGGGGCATTTCGCTACGGCGATTGCGCGTCAAGTCTCGAGGGTTATGAACGATGTTTCTCGCAGCGTGGTGCCTCCTCATCATGTCCTCTCTTCGTTTGCGGATGATCAATTCATAATCACGGCGAAAAATATGCTCATCGTTTTGCAAGCCAATGGCAAGATCAACGATGAGGTGGTGAATTTCTACATGGCCCTTTTGTGGTCGACGACATCCGCGACACGTGCACGGCCATCAGGCCTTCAAATCTTCAGCTTCAATTCTTTCTTCTTCAGTATGCTGCAACTTCGAGGACATACTGGGGTGGAGAGGTGGGCTAAAAACGTTGATCTGCATCAGTACGATATGATCTTCATTCTGGTGCACAAACATAACGATCACTGGATCCTACTTTCCGTCATGTGGGCTACTTTCCTACAAAAGCCATGTGTGAGAAACGTAAGGTTGGGGGTTCAAATCCCTTTTTCCGCTCGTATCACCGCAACGCGGCGCACTATGTGGCACCCATAAGACCAGTGCCCGACATGAAGTCGGCCTGGATTAAGGTGGCCGGCCCCGATGCGGGCCGGCGCACTATGTGGCACCCATAAGAGCAGCACGCTGCTCTTATGGGGGATTGGGGGAAGGCTCAATCCCGGAGCAGTAAGCGCGGTAGTTCCCTTCTTCCCTTCCTCAACTCTGCCCACCGGAACTTTCGACGTTCCAACATTCAAACACAACAAGGAGTCGACGTCATTGTGTTGCTGTGATTATCCATCAGTGGGGGTCGCAGGTTGTGCTGCTCAAGGCACCTTGCTCATCACAATCAAGGCACCCTGCTCATCACGATCAGAAATAAGTATGGATCTCAGCACACTTATGAAACTTCTCCGACAAGGATACAATCAAGGCGCCTTGCTCATCACAATCAAAAATAAGACTTAGTATGAATCTCAGCACACTTATCAAACTTCTCCGATAAGGACACAATCAAGGCGCGTTGCTCATCGGAATTATACATAAGTATGGATCTCGGCACACTTCCGCATATCAGGCACACCTTGCTCATTATAAACAAGTATGGATCTCAACACACTTCCGCATATGGGGCGAGTGGATGGGTGAGTGGATGGGTATGCCTAGGTTGCTTAGGCTGCAGCTGAAACTGAATTCGTTCGAAAGAGGACACAATATAATGTCATATTTTAACGAATAACGTGTTTAACAAACAAAGGAACAAACGGCGGCCCCTCACGGCGTCTATCACTAGGAACCTCTACTCATCTGAAGATAGATAAATCCTAACACTCACCTCCGCGACAAGCGGCTCACTCTCTCTGTCTCTCCACACACATGGCCTGGTTTGACACTCGATCCTTACCCACAGGAAAACTCCTTCCCTGACGACCAACCCTCACTCTATTGTGGGTCTATACTTACTCCTTCCTTCCAGTGGTAGTTTCACGACATCGTACCGGTCGGCCTCTTGTCTAAGTTGAATCTGAGTGCCCGATTCGATAAACACCATTCCTAATCAAGTATCAGCAGTTCTCTCACTTCACCCTTCTCCCGTGTTTTACTCTGAGACTGTTGAGATCACAGACCTTCACGACAGGCCCCCACCGATCGCTCCTATATCCCCTCAAGACGTCAACAGGCCTAGGAAAGAACCGCCCTCTGGCGTATCTCTCCCTACCCTCATGTCGAGAAGGAGGATTGATCAGCGTACCATCGTCGCTGACCTACCACCTACATCGCGACATGGGCACGAGCCGGCCAACTCATGTGCCCTAGGGTGGACTGAAGTCACACGCGGCTAAGGGGCGGTGTCTCACTCGTGCATCCTCACGCTCCTATCCATGCCTCTACTCGACCCATCTCAGGCGTGGTCTCTCATCCCTGACTCGTGCAGTGAATCAAGCCCCCCTGCTATCCATCAGGATCAGCTAGCCTATCTATTCCCTACCCAACTCCTTGCAATCCGGGGTGCTTTTCCCCTCGCCTTCAGTCCCTTCAGATCATCCCCTGCTCACGATTCTCTCTCTTGGAGTCAATATCAGGGTAGACTGAACAAAGAGTAGGGAAATCAGAATAACCCCTCTCAATCACGAGGAATAGCAGAGAGGAAAAGCACGAAAAACCGAGAAAATGCAGGAATCGGTAAAATCACGAACTGCAAAAAATCACGATCTCACCGAAGAGCATCGATCATAGGTCAATGGGGGTGTCGTCTGCCCACTCGTGCCCGTACTGTCCAACGTCTCACCTGCGCACTCTAGTCATTGGCCAACTGATCAGCCTCCTCTCGTCTGCCTTGTTTCAGTTACATCCTTGTGCTGATCCTCTTACATCCCCGCGGTTACAGGCGGACCGAAGTCCCGAGAGGCAGCCTTCCCCGGCAACGGCGCCACTGTCGACCGGTAGAAGGGGTATGCCGGCACGCCGTCTGAACCCTAAGCCTCGCGCCGCGTCTGTCACCAGCGGGAGGGTCGGTCGGGGCTCCTGTAACCTGCACAAAACACGTGAGTCCACATCCGCGAAAACAAGGATCGTAGCCAGGGTTGTCACGCGGGGATCCCCGGGGCAAGCCGGGGTAGGAGTTTCATCCCTGGACCCTTGCCGCGGGGCTACCCGACCCCCGCCCCTGCCAAAACACCCCC